TTTGCAGATGACGTTCTTCCCCAAACAGCTTGCTGAACGGGATGCTGTTGTGATAAAAGCTAACTCCGGCCGAAGGAAGTCGGAGCAGAGACATCCTCACAAAAATTTGATGGTCCGGGCCGTTTCGCTTGAGGCATCCTCACAACTCTCGTTTCTGAATTGGCCGGGATTGGCCGTTTCGCCTGAGACATCCTCGAAAAATTGCGCTCTGGGACGCCGCGCGAGAGGTGGTCCGGGCCATTTCGCTTGAGTCATCCTCGAAACTCTGAGCCCCGAGGTGCCGTGCGAGAGGTGGTCCGGGCCGTTTCGCCTGAGACATCCTCGAAACTCTGAGCTCTGAGATGCCTTGCGCGAGGTGGTCCGGCCCGTTTCGCCTGAGACATCCTCAAAACTCTGACCTCGGAGATGCCGCGCGAGAGGTGGTCCGGCCCGTTTCGCCTGAGACATCCTCGCAACTCTGGGCTCCGAGATGCCCTGCGCGAGGTGGTCCGGCCCATCTCGCTTGAGACATCCTCGCATCTCTGAGCTCTGAGATGCTGTGCGCAAGGTGGTCCGGCCCGTTTCGCGCAAGACATTCTCGCAACTCTGAGCTCCCAGATGCCGCGCAAGAGGTGGTCCAGCCTGGGGGCCCAGAAGACGATATGTCACATCTCCTCCCTGGGACCCTGGGAACCCGCCTGAGACATCCTCAAACTTCTGAGCTCTGAGATGCCCTGCGCGAGGTGGTCCGGCCCGTCTCGCCTGAGACATCCTCGCAACTCTGAGCTCTGAGATGCCGTGCGCAAGGTGGTCCGGCCTGTTTTGCACAAGACATTCTCCAATTCTGAGCTCTCAGATGCTGCGCAAGAGGTGGTCCAGCCTGGGGGCCCAGAAAACCACATGTTACACATCCTCCCTGGGAGCTCCAGGAGGCCCCAGAGAGCTCCAGGAGGCCGCAGGACGCCCAGGACAGGCCCCAGGGGTCCCCAGGAGATTCCCAGGAGGCTCCCAGGAGGCTCCCAGGAGGCCCCAGGAGGCCCCCTTATCAGAACGTGACAAGTTAATACACATCCGGTGTCGATTCGTTGATTTTCCCTGCTCTTGTGGCCCCCCCTCCATTTTGAGGAGCCCAAACGGCCACAGGTTTGGTGTTCCCCCCTGGGAGCCCCAAGAGGCTTCAGGAAACCCCAGGTGGAGTTCAGGAGGCCACAGGAGGCCCAGGAGGAAGCCCCAGGAGGTCCCCAGGAGGCCCCAGGAGGCCCCAGGAGGCCCCCGCAACTCGGAGCTCTGAGACGCCGCGCTCGAGGTGGTCCGGCCCGTTTCGCCTGAGACTTCCTTGCAGCACGTTTCGCCTGAGACACCGGCCCGTTTCGCCTGAGACATCCTTGCAACTCTGAGCTCTGAGTTGCCGTGCGCAAGTTGGTCTGGCCCGTTACGCACAAGACATTCTCGCAACTCTGAGCTCCCAGATGCCGCGCAAGAGGTGGTCCAGCCTGGGGGCCCAGAAGACCACATGTTACATATCCCCCCTGGGACCCTGGGAGCCCCAGGAGGCCCCAGAGAGCTCCAGGAAGCCGCAGGACGCCCAGGAAAGGCCCCAGGGGGTCCGCAGGAGATTCCCAGGAGGCTCCCAGAAGGCCCCGGGAGGCCCCCTATCAGAACGTGTCAAGTTAATACACATCCGGTGTCGATTCGTTGATTTTTCCTGCTCTTGTGGCCCCCCCATTTTGGAGGCCCCGACGGCTACATGTTAGATATCCCCCTGGGAGCCCCAAGAGGCTTCAGGAAGCCCCAGGTGGGGTCCAGGAGGCCCCAGGAGGCTCACGCAACTCTGAGCTCTGAGACGCCGCGCTCGAGGTGGTCCGGCCCGTTTCGCCTGAGACTTCCTCGCAGCACGTTTCGCCCGAGACATCGTCGCAGCTCTGGGGTCCGAGATGCCGCGCGCGAGGTGGTCCAGCCTGTTACGCCTGAGACATCCTCGCAACTCTGGGCTCCGAGATGCCCTGCGCGAGGTGGTCCGGCCCATCTCGCCTGAGACATCCTCCCAACTCTGAGCTCTGAGATGCCGTGCGCAAGGTGGTCCGGCCCGTTTCGACAAGACATTCTCGCAACTCTGAGAGCTATCAGATGCTGCGCAAGAGGTGGTCCAGCCTGGGGGCCCAGAAGACCACATGTTACATATCCCCCCTGGGACCCTGGGAGCCCCAGGAGGCCCCAGAGAGCTCCAGGAGGCCGCAGGACGCCCAGGACAGGCCCCAGGGGTCCGCAGGAGATTCCCAGGAGGCTCCCAGGAGGCCACAGGAGGCCCCCTATCAGAACGTGTCAAGTAAATACACATCCGGTGTCGATTCGTTGATTTTTCTTGCTCTTGTGACCCCCCTTTTCATTTTGGGGGGCCCCGACGGCTACATGTTAGATATCCCCCCTGGGAGCCCCAGGAGGCTTCAGGAAGCCCCAGGTGGGGTCCAGGAGGCCACAGGAGGCCCAGGAGGAAGCCCCAGGAGGTCACCAGGAGGTCCCAGGAGGCACCAGGAGGCCCCCGCAACTCGGAACTCTCAGACGCCGCGCTCGAGGTGGTCCGGCCCGTTTCGCCTGAGACTTCCTTGCAGCACGTTTCGCCTGAGACATCGTCGCAACTCTGGGGTCCGAAATGCCGCGCGCGAGGTGGTTCAGCCCGTTACGCCTGAGACATCCTCGCAACTCTGGGCTCCGAGATGCCCTGCGCGAGGTGGTCCGGCCCATCTCGCCTGAGACATCCTCCCAACTCTGAGCTCTGAGATGCCGTGCGCAAGGTGGTCCGGCCCGTTTCGCACAAGACATTCTCCAATTCTGAGCTCTCAGATGCTGCGCAAGAGGTGGTCCAGCCTGGGGGCCCAGAAGACCACACGTTACAGATCCCCCCTGGGACCCTGGGAGCCCCAGGAGGCCCCAGAGAGCTCCAGGAGGCCGCAGGACGCCCAGGACAGGCCCCAGGGGTCCGCAGGAGATCCCAGGAGGCTCCCAGGAGGCCCCAGGAGGCCCCCGATCAGAACGTGTCAAGTTAATACACATCCGGTGTCGATTCGCTAATTTTTCCTACTCTTGTGCCCCCCCCCCAATTTGGGGGGCCCCGACGGCCACATGTTAGATATCCCCCCTGGGAGCCCCAAGAGGCTTCAGGAAACCCCAGGTGGGGTCCAGGAGGCCACAGGGGGCCCAGGAGGAAGCCCCAGGAGGAAGCCCCAGGAGGAAGCCCCAGGAGGTCCCAGGAGGCACCAAGAGGCCCCCGCAACTCGAAGCTCTGAGACGCCGCGCTCGAGGTGGTCTGGCCCGTTTCGCCTGAGACTTCCTCGCAGCACGTTTCGCCCGAGACATCGTCGCAACTCTGGGCTCCGAGATGCCGTTCGGGGTGAAGAGGAGGTGGAGGAGGAGGAGGAGGAGGAGGAGGAGGAGGAGGCATGTTTAACATGCCATGCCAGCCCGCACTGGACGGGCACGCAATCGACCTTGGAAACCGCAGTGGGTCTAAAAACCCTGTTTTGGATAGAGCATTCCGGCTGTAATTTTGTACTGACTGAATTGGGTTGGCTGGATGTTGCCAGACAAGCCGTTTCCCAAAAATCAGCTTCGCGTGCTGCTCAGAACTTCAGGGCCACTTAGTATATTCTACGATGTGGGGCGAAATGTCTGAGTTTGGTGAGGCGCTCAACGCCCATGCTGATAGATTGTGATATTCTTTCATCGACCGAAAGATCTCTCTTTCTTTCTTGAGCGCTGCTGGGCACTCCAGATATGCCAAATTGCCCCAGGTGGGGCTCTCCAGAGACAACCCCCTCATTTCACGATGCTGGCCCCGACGCTGGTGCCGTGCGCGTGCTTGTCCGCGTCAACCGCGGCCCAGCACTCTGCCCAGCGGGCGCCGACTTGGGCGCCGCCGACTGGGGCTTCTAGCCTCCCGCGTAGACGACCAGCGCCCCCGTCGCCATCCTCGGGTCGTGGCCCGCGAACTGGTCCAGCTTCGCCCAGATGCCTCCCCTCATGTTGATATTCGGGAGCACTGCTCTGAAGTTGGGGGCTTCGTTGATGCCAATGTGGATATTGCCGAAACCCTCTTCCCAAGTCTCCTCGCCCTCGTGCGGGTTCCTGTCCTTGCTGTTGCGCGCGTTGTAGCTCTCGCTGGCCTTGCACATCTTGATCGTATCCATGACCATTGCCTGGCTGTGTCCGCTGTTGTCCTCCACCAGCATCAGGAAATCGTTCAGCGTGCCCATGGCTCTGTTTATTGATACTGGTACTGTCGTTTCGTCTTCCCTCCGCCATCCCGACACCATCTCCTGCGTGCCTTCCATGAGCGCCAAGCCCGCGTGAATACCTGGCGGCCCCATCTTGTGCCCCTTGCCCTTCTCTCTGACCTGGTTCCCGCGGCTCTGCCCTGCTGCCGGCGACGTCCGAAACGCGAGATTGCTGACTGGCGCGATGAAGAAATCCGACGTCACGTGGTTCGCGTCACTGATCTGCGCCGCGGAGCGAAGGGCCAAGCTTTGACGCCCGTTGATACACCCTCTTCGGTCGAACTCCTCGTAGCCGTCTCCTGCAAAAGACTGGCGGGCAGGTGGCCCGCGCCCCCCCCCCCCCCGCCTTTGCCGCCCCCCCCCCTCGACGCCGCCGCTGTCGAAGGCGGGCTGCCCGCTGCTTTGGCGCTGGCCACTTCTGCGCGCCAGTGGCCCTTTCCTTTTCCCTTGCCGCCCTCGCGGTGCATCGGCCCCCCCTCCATGTCAGCGCTTGCTCCTCGTCTGGGCAGCGATGACCTCTGCGGCGCCATCGCCATCTTTCACGCTGCGCGGCCCGGGATGGCGGCAGCGAGCATGCATCTAACAGCACTCCGAGGATCGAGCCTGGAAGCAACGCAGGGCGCGGGCGAGGGAAGGGGGCCCGCGCGCGGGGTGATTCCAGCAGCTTCTGTTTTGCAGCATATCCCGTGACTCTCCGTCGCCCCCGTGCCCAGCCAGCGCCGCCGCCGCAGTAAATTGCGCCCCGCGCACCTGCCCCTCTGCCCCAATTTCCCAATCGCGCCAAAAACTGCGCCACCACCTCTCCGCCCACCGTGATTTCAGGCAGCGCTGCGCCCCGCGCTTCTCCCGCTAGGCGTAAGATACTGGTGTCCGACCCCGCCCGCGCCCCCCAATCCCTCGCGCCCCTCTCGAACATTGAGATGTCTGACTCCCTCCTCGGTGACCAGCTCCCCGCGCCCTCGCTGACCTCCGCCAGCGCCTGGAAGTCTCCGACCGTCTGCTTGGCCCATGGCGTAGAAGCGTCGCATGCCCATCCATCTTCAATTCTCTTGACCTGGCAGAGACTCTTTCTAGCTTGCTCTCCAACTCTCCAAGCGCCGGGTGGTGGCTTTGATCTGCTCCGCGAGTATTGTCGCGTTGGCTCTTGGGCGAACCGGGAAAGCCTCGCTTCCGCTCAAAGCAGAATGGGCATAGGAGCTTGCGCGAACCGAGATAACCTCGCTTTCACCAAGCTCCACCTGGCGTTCCGAGATTACCTCGCTAACGCCAGGTGCCACTGGGATCGGGCCCGACGGGGCCGCCGCGCAGGTCTTGGTGATGTCGCCCATGAACGCGTCGAGCGAGAGGTCGTGCTCCTGCTCGTTGACTGGGCCCACCGCATCATGCGACACCTGCATCTCGCCCGCTCTCTTCCTGGCGCCGTTGCCCCACGTGCAGGTTGCAACTGTCGTTGAACAGTCCTGGGCACGGGGTAAACCCCATCTGCGCCCCTCTCGTAATCCTTGCATGTAGCCAATCGCCTGCGCATTCCACACTCATAAACGCGCAGTGCAGCGCCTCGACCGCAAACGGTAAATCCCCTCTTTCCGACGCGGCGAAGACTGCTGCCAATCGCAGGTTGCATTTCGCACTTGCGAATGCAGTTGCGCAGTCGCAGTTGCTTGCGATGGCACCCGCTCCTGCTTGCAGTGCTCTCCACTGCGCAGCTTCAGCGCAAGTGATCGCATTGCGCCCCGATGCGTTCCGCAGCGCCCCGCGTGCCCAGCATGGGTGCTTAGGCGATTTGCCTTTGCAGCGGATACTTTGCGAGAAACAGCCCCCGCTGAGCAGAGCGCGCGCATGGCTCGTTTCCACCCTAGTCATTCCTTGTGGTTGCCCTACTCCGCCGAGCATGAAATGGGCCCGCGCCAATTCAGCGGCGTGGCTTGCGATTGGCGGCGCGTGATAGGGGCGTCCTCCAACTTGCCCCTGCGCCCCGCGCTTGCTTCTTCTTCCGCGCGCGACCGAGGATCCCAGCCCAGCCTTCTCGCCCCCCCCCCCCCCGCGCGCGCGCCCCCGCGCGCGCCCGCGCGCGCGCACACACACACGCGCACACACACACACACACAAACGCACACACACGCACACGCACACACACACATACACACACAGGCACGAACGCACGCACGCACGCACACACACACACACACACACGCACACGAACACGCACACGCACACGCACACACGCACACGCACACGCACACGCACACACACACACACGCACACACAACCACACACACACACACGCGCACGCGCTCGCTCACACACGCACGCACACACACACAAACACACACACACACACACACGCACACACACACACACACACGGACACACACACACACACACACACGCACAAACACACACACACACACGCGCGCACGCACGCACGCACGCACGCACGCACGCACGCACACACACACACACAAGCACACACACACACGCACACACACACGCGCGAACGCACGCACACACACACACACACGCACACGCACCAGCACACACACACACACACGCGCACGCACACGGGTGGCGCGCTGTTTTCTTCTGTCGCCATCGATGCACCGCCGTCGCCCATTTTCCCCCCCTGCCCAGCGCCCTGCCTGATGCCCAACCCATCTTCTGTAGCGTAGACCCCCCCGCTCTGCGCGTGTAAAAAGCGCGTTGAACTTGTCCGAATCCCCCTCGCCACCGCGCTTCTCCGCAACTCGTGCTCTTCTTGCTCGGTTGCTCAGCGCCCTCCAGGCTGACCGCGGATTCTAGCATCGCCCATGCAACCTTTACTGGCGCCCCCCGACAAAGGGAAGGCTCGCCTTCTTACCGCTTCCCTGCAGTGCTTTGGCATGCCCCTCTTGCCCCTCTCCACTTGCGCCCTCAACTCCATATCCAGTGGAAGCGGCATGTTCTCTGCAATCATCTCGTCGTGCTCCTTCTCGTACTCTCCCGGGTCCATCGACTCGGCTGCCAGCCCTCCTTCACGGGGCGGTTGCCCAGCTCAGCGAACCGCTCCTCCGTGATCCACCGCGTCCGCGCTGGGAAACACTATAGTCCCACCAGCCCTCTCGGCGTGGGTGGTTCCGGGAGTTTCCTCTTCCAACCTCCTTCATCCCCATTCGGGGGGGGGGGGGGCTCCATGACCCCCCCCCCCTGGACTTGGACGGGGGTGGCCGCTGGTAGTTAGAGCGCCCAAAACGGCCTCGGCGAGGGAGCCGACGGTTTTACTTGGATTTGGGCAGATTTGGGAGGCCCCCGAGGGGGAAGGCAAATGGGGGGGCCCCCTTCCTTTGATCGATCGCCCCCAAGATGGCCCCAAGAGCGCCCCCAAGGCTCCCAAGAGCGCCCCCAAGAGGGCCTCAAGAGGCGCCCAGGAGGCCCCAAGAGGCGACAAGGAGGCCCCAAGAGGCCTCCAAGAGCCCCCCAAAATACCCCCAAGAGGCCCCCCAAGAGGCCCCAAGAGGCCCCCACGAGGCACCCAAGACGGTCCAAGAAGTTCCCGGGACCGCCAAGAGGCCCCCAACACGCCCCAAGAGACCTAAGAGTATCCCAAGAGACATCCCAAGAAACTCCGCGAGGCATTCAAGAGGCCTTTGACTCTTCTGATCGCCCTTCCCCCCCCCCCCCCCCCCCTCATCATCACCATCGTCATCATCGCCATCACCGCCACCATCACCATCGTCAAGACCACCGCCATCATCGTCATCAGCAACAGCATCACCTATCTCAACATCAACATCATCATCCGCCGATTCCTCCTCCTCCTCATTCCTCCCCCCCCACCCTCATCCTCCTCCCCCTCCTCTTCCGCCTCCGACTCCTCCTCCCGCCCCGCCCCCTTGGGGCGCGACGGCCTCCCCAGCCCCTTGTTCCTCTGCATGCTGCCCCGCTTCCATGATCACCTCTACTCGCCTGGGCGTCGTTTCTGGATGGGCTGGTGGGGATGCGCGAAGCGTCAAGAATTTCTTCGGCCCTCTCCCATTCCCCTGACACTCCGCCCCGAGCCCGCGCGCGTCGCTGAAGTTGTTGTTCTCGCATGCTCGCCACACGTCCTCTGGCGGCGTATGTTTTCCTTGTCTTCTCCAGCCCCATCCTGCGATTGCGCGGCGCATTTTGCATCTACGCTTGCTCCTGCTTGATCTTCTCCACTCTCTTCTGCGCATATGAATCTACCGCGCCCACTCTTAACTTCGTTCTCTCAGCCAGTAGGGGGCGACGTCGCAATGGGAATGCGGCCGCCCCCTTGTCTTCCTGCTTCTTTTTGATCGGGAACGCCTCTCTCATAGTTTTGCTGCCCGCCTCGCCCCGCCCCGCCTGCGTCTGATCTGCTGCAGGGCGCCCCCCCTGAGGTAGCATTCCGAGAAGACCTCGCCGATGCTTCTCCTGGGGGGCCCACAAGGCCCTCGCGTGATGCACCCCTAGAAAACCTCGCTAATGCTTCACTTGGAGGTTAGGCCCGGGTCGCGCTCCGAGAGAATTTCGCCGATGCCCCCCCCTGGCTGTTGCGACTTGACGGCCTGCAGGCGGCGGTCGAACGCGCGCGAGGATTCTGCTCTCAGTCGACCTTTCCTCAAGCACTCCATCAGCATGTCGCGGCCCACCTCTTTGTCTGCTCTCTGCTGCCTGCGCTTGCCCGAAAATGCTCCAGTCGCTATCCGAGCCCAGTGGGATGTGGTCTCTGTGCCCTCTCGCTTTGATCTTCTGCCGTTTCTTTGCCACTCCTCTCCGTGCCGCGCACCTCCGCGCGTGGGCTACATGTCCTCGTCGGCATTGCTATGTGGTCTATACTGTTCGACATCATCTTCTCGTTTTTAACGCAGTAGCAAGTAGGCCCGCAATCAATGAAAGTCGTGACCGCTGACAGTAGGCTGTGAACACGAAAATCCCTGAATGCCGTGCCTTTGTCGCTCTCCACTTCCTTAGCAACTGGCCCCAATGTTGTTGCATGTTTGCTCGAACTGCGCCTGCTGACCACCAGATCCCTGCTGTCTGACCCGTGCATTCCCAGCTGACCGTTGATGTCCCCTCCCGCAGCAAAAATAATAGATATGCCACCCGTATCGTCGCATATCTCCTCGACCCACCTCATATTTTCAAGTCATTCCATTGTTCACGTACCCTTTGTCTGGCGGTCAGCAGGCTGCACATTGTGTGACGTCGTACGCTCTTGCCCTCAATATGATACCTGCCGTTCTGCCTTGCAGTTGAACAGGAGGTGAGTACTGCGTGTGGAAGACCCTGCCTGTCATCATCTCGATGGAAATCATGAGCGTCGTACCACATGTCTATGTCTTGTTAATCAATGCTCCCTTCTTTGTCCCGAGCCGCAGAGCCGCATGACATGTGTAGCTCGTCTTCTTCATCGGCTCTGGCCCAGCCCATTATAGTGTGCCCCTGTCAGTACACTCGCATCCCATTCTCGTAGTGCACTGCCTATCTCTTCCAATATGTCCGTGGCATCCGCTGCAACAGGACTGTCGAATACCAGCACCATCAGTGCCCATGTCAAGAGTGCTGCAATTGCCATCCGTCTGCGATGCCCTCTGGCCCGTGCGATTGAGGGGCGGTCGTTGCGAGAGAGTTTCAGCAACTCCTCTCTTCGTCGGTTCTCAAAATGCCTGAGCCTCCAACGCCGACGGAGGAGGAGGAGGAGGAGGAGGAGGAGGAGGAGAAGGAGGAAGAGGAGGAGGAGGAGGAGAAGGAAGAGGAGGAAGGGGAGGGGGAGGAAGAAAAGGAGGAGGAGGAGGAGGACGACGACGACGAGGAGGAAGAGGACGAGGAGGACTCGCTCCCTCTTCTGGTGCCCGCCGTCGCCCCCACGTTCAGCGCCCCGGCCCAGGGCGCCGCAGCTTCGGTCGCGGGGCCGTCGTCCGGTGACGCCGACGGGCCGCCCGGCGACGTCGCCGCCATGGCGCCGCGGCGGCGGGCGGCGGGCGGCGGGCGGCCTCGGCTTGCAGCGGTGGCGTTCGGGCCGCACGGGGCCCTCGCGAGAGAAGGCCGTACCTCTCTGGAAACCCTGCCCTT